TTGCTGGGCAGTGGTGGCACAAATCTTTAATCCCAGCACTCAGGAGGCAGAAGCAGGTGAATCTCTGTGAGTTCAAAGCCAGCCTGGTCTACAAAACGAGTTCCAGGACAGCCAGGGCTGTTACACAGAAAAACCCTGCCCCCCATAAAAATATGAGTTTATTTTTATTGGGGGGCTATAGCTGACACAGACTTTCTTCTTCTTCTTCTTCTTCTTCTTCTTCTTCTTCTTCTTCTTCTTCTTTTTCTTCTTCTTCTTTTTCTTTTGTAGTATGTATTGAATCTAGGGGCATACACATGCCAGGCAAAAGAGTCAACCACTGAACTACATTCCCTGTCCTTACATAGGTTTTCAATAAAGATTTGGTGACTCACTTTTCAGAACGTCATGGGAGCTGGCTTTTGCAAACATGAACCTGATGAAGATCAAGCATGCTGGCCTGTAATTCATATTCTGCTGTCATTGACTTTCTGATCTCAAAATCAACTCTAGCCTTAAAGGCCATTTAAATGGGAACATTGAGGACAGCCTTGTGACGTCAGGTTCTGTAGCCCGGTGGCACAGTAGCACCGTCTAGGAGGAATGCTGGTTTGTGTATCAGACAGGTGGTTAGATTAGATGAACTTTGACCTTTAGGTGCTGTGTTCTAAGAGTCTTTGGGTCTTTTCCCCCACCTCCTTTTCTCCTCCTCCCCTCCCCTTCCTTCCTTGCCTGCCCTTTCTTTTTCTTCATTTTGTGAGTGTGTACATGCATGCTCGCATGCACATGTGTGGTGCCTTACACGGATCTAGAACTCACTATGTAGCTGTTCTAGTTTCATTCTGCTGTGTGAAAAATACCATGACCAAAACAGTGTAGGGGAGGAAGGAGTTTATTTCACCTTACAGGTTACTGAAGTGTGATCCTAATTAACAATAAAAACCCAGACAGAGTCAGATATTAGGGTGAAAGCTGAAAGATCAGAGAAGCAGAGCAGCCACAGTCACTTCTTACTGAAATGGGGGTGATCCTGACTCTACGAATCCTCAGACTGAATGGCTAAAGTCTCTACCTACCTTATATTCCTGTCTCCACCTCCTGATGCTGGGATTCAAGGTGTGAGCCTCCCATGTGCTGGGGTTAAAGGCAAGAGTCTCCTCCACCACCTGGCTCTGTTTCTCTTTTAGACTGGATCAATCTCGTGTAGCCCAGGGTGGTCTTAAACTCCTGATCTTCTTGCTTCCTCCTCCCAAGTGCTGGGACTAAAGGTGTGTGCCACCACTGCCTGGCCTCTATGGTTAGCTAGTGGCTAGCTCCTCGCTCTGGTCTCCAGGCAGGCTTTATTAGAGCATAAACAAAATATCGCCACAGGTTACTGTTCCTCATTGAGGGACTCAAACAGAGATTTGGGGCAGAAACCTTGGAAGAATGTTGCTTGCTGGCTTGCTCACTGACCAATGCTCAGCTAGCTTTCTTATGAAAATGGGGATTATCTGCCAAGGGAAAGGTGCCATCCACAATAGGCTGGGCCCTCCCACCTAAATTAAAAATCAGGATAAGCTCCTAATCTGATGTAGGCAATTGCTCTCTCAGATGACTTTAGGCAGTGTCAAATTGACAGTCAAAGGTAGCTAGCACAATAACCAAGGATGGCCTTGAACTCCTGATCCCCTCACCTCTCCCCTTCCAAGTGCTGAAATTTCAGGTTTATGTGGTACTGGCAACTGAACCCAGAGTTTCATGCAGGTTAGCAAGCACCCGACCAACGGGACTACACAGTGAGGTGAGCTGCTTATCTCACAGGGGCTTGGGAGGGGGACAGAAGAATGGCTGCTGGAAGAGAGTAGTAGGAAGTTATTGTTTTAAAAAACAGAGTTTCTGTTTGTGGGGCTCGGGAACAGTGCAGCGGCAGAGTACTTGCCTAGCATGGGTTGGAGCCCCAGAACAGAACAAAGATTTACAAAAAATAAATAAACCAGTGTGTGTGTGTGTGTGTGTGTGTGTGTGTGTGTGTGTGTGTGTGTGTGTGTATACGCGTGCGCAGGTTGGCCCAGTCAGTAATGTGCCTGCAGCACAGGCACCAGGTTTTGAGTTTTGATCCCAGCATCCACACAAAAGCTGGCCACAGAGAACAACTGTAGCCACAGCTGGGGCAGAGGGAAAAGACAGAGGAACAGAGGGATTTCAAGAGCTTGCTGGCCAGCCAGCCTAGCCAAATCAATGAACCCTATATTCAGTGAGAGAGACCCTGTCTCAAAAATAGATACTACTACTACTACTACTACTAAAAATAATAACAATGATGGAGGTCTTTGCCATCTTTCCTCCAGCCAGCCAGCAGCCCTCACCACGAAGGTGGAGCTGTTTCAGCAGGAAGATCTACTCCGGACCCAGGCAGACTCCACAGCAGACCATCTGGAAGGTTTTCCAGTTTCTTAATGCAAATTAAGAGTCCTCATCATTTTCCAAAAGGAATCTTCGGCAGATAAACTGGGCAGTGTTCTCTACGAAAGAAAACACAAAAAGGACAGTTGGAAGGAATTCAAAAGAAAAGAACCCGTGGTGCAATCAAATCCCAGCCAGCATCACTGGGGCTTCTCTTGCTGATAAAATGGCCAAGAGTTATCAGAAACCGGAAGTTTCAGAAAGCTCAGCGGCAGCAGGTTGTCAGGGCTGCCAAGGAAGAAAAAACAAAATACTAAGCAGGCATCAAAGAAGACAGCCATGGCTGTTGCTAAGGCCCCCATGAGAGCAGCACCTAAACAAGATAGTAAAGCCTGTGAAGGTCTCTCCGGGTCGGTAGAAAACATTCATTTGGTAGATGAGAATTTAAAATAAAGATCCATCTGTAACTCTTCCTCAATATGAGAGCAATTGAGGAAGACACTCCATGTTGACCTCTGCCCTCCATATGTACACACACATGCATACACACCCATGCACACACCCTAAGAAACACACACACACACACACACACACACACACACACACACACCATACATACATGCATGCATACTATTTTTTAAATTTAGAGACAAATTAAAAAAAAGTTTCCATTGGGGATGATGACAATATTGTACAGATGGAGAATGGTGTTAAAGTCCTTAATACCCCTGAATTGTACAGTTAGATTGTTACAATGGTAAGCTTTGATGTTATACTGTTTATCATATAAAATAATGCTGAAAGACTAACTTGGTTCACATTCAGAGCATTCTCACCCAGGTGTCTAGACCACCAGTCCTCATGTAGTTCTTTCAAATCCTCACAAAACCAGTAACAAAATAATGAACTTATTAAATATTTGTTATTTCCTATGCATTGTACATTGTTTAACATCATTTGATCCGGGCTAGCCTTGAAGTCACAATCTTCCTGCCATAGCATGCAGACTGCTGGGATCACAGACCTGTGTGTGCTTACTACGCTCAGCTTGAACACTAGGGTTTGAAACCGAGTATTCTCAGTTGGGCAGTGGAGGTGCACGCCTTTAATCCCAGCATTCAGGAGGCAGCGGCAGGCGGATCTCTGTGATTTTGAGGCCAGTCTGGTCTACAGAGTGAGTTCTAGTACAGTAGGGCAACACGGAGAAACCCTGTCACAAAAACAAAACAAGACACAAAACAACAAAAAACCCTGAGTATTCTCAAAGACCAAACTGTTTCTCAATTCCAGGACTTTCTCACAAGCCTCGCGCATACTCTAAAGATCGCATACATAGTCTTTCCTTTTTAAGATGTATTTATTTGTTTGTGTAATAACTGTTTGTGCCTGAGTGTGTATATTCACAGCACTTGGGTTGGAGGGGCACTTGGAAGCCAGAACGGGGTGTTGGAGCTCCTGGAACTAGAATTACAGGCTGTTGAGCTGCCTGGTGTAGGCTTAGTTAACTGACCCAGGTCCTCTGCAAGAGCAGTTGGTGCTCTTAACTGCTGAACCATCTCTCCGGCTCCAAGGAGTAATTTCTAGGGGTTCAGAATGTGGCTCAGTTGCTAGAGTGCTTGCCTAGCATGCACAAAGCCCTGGGTTCAATCCCCAGCACCACATAAAAATCCAGGCACCAGGCATTATGGCACTCATCTGTAATTCCAGCCTTCGGGAAGCTAAAACAGGAGTATTGGAAGTTCAAGGTCACCCCTTGTCTACATAGAGCTTGAGGCCACCCTACCCTATATGATGTGCTGTATACCACCAAACAAACAAAACCAGAGTAAAGGGGTACACTAAAGCCTCTGCCGAGGAGAAAAAGGAGCCAGATCTCACAGTTCCTTCCCATCTGCCTAGCAGTGCTTTGCATGATTTCACAGCAGGCCTCAGGAATGGGAGCTCTGGTTATCCTCATTGTAGAGGAGGACATGAGCCGCAGTGAGGGTAATTTTTCCAAGGTCACAAAACCACTTTTGGTACCAGAAAAATAGAACTGAAAATCTATTTGTTATTTTTGTATCATGTGTACGGGTGCACGTTCTACAGTGTGTGCCCTTGTGGCGTTTAGAGGACAACTTTGTGGACTCAGTTCTCTCCTTCCACCTTCCTGTGGGGGCCCCGGATTGAACCCAAATCACAGCTGCAAGGCTCACACAGCAAGAACCTTCTGCCTGCTGAGCCATTTCACTGGCTCTCAATTTAGAATCTTTTACTCCCTCCCCCTCTTCTAATAGGAAAAATATTCTCATGTTTCTAACACCAGAAGGGCAGAATGGCTAACACCTCTTCTTACTTCATTGGAGATAATGTCCCCCTGCCTCACCTCTTCCTGGTGATTGAACTGTTGGTAAGAGTGCATAAATAACAGAAGAAAGACCCTTCCCCTCTCGGCCGCCATCCTTGTTTGCCCTGGAAATACTTACCATCAAACCAAAGTAGGAGGGGCCTCCAGGCAGACGGGCCTCTCTTGTGCCCCCCCCCTTTTTGTATGCCATCTTTCTTATTAGATTTCATATGGATAGCATCTATAAGCACAGATTTATACACAGCACATCAATGAGTGAGGTACACATATTTTTCACCAGGCTCTAGGGGGGTCTTCCGTGTTTCTATATCTTGAAGTTTCCCCTTTTATCTGAAGTCTTCCTATTCCTGGAACGCCCTCACTCAAATCTCTCACCCGTATCCACTGTTTTAGGTGACAAAATCATTCCCGCCATCCAGCCCCTCGCCTTGACCTTGAGCTATGAACCACTTTGGGGTAGGGTGCATCCCTTGGCTTGTCCACTTCAACCCCTAGTAGAATAGAAAGGGGAGTCCAGAAGGTGCCAGAGGCTCTTTGAGTGTAACTGTCAGCATCTGCCTGCCCATCTACTCTCCATCTGCCTGCATTTTTATACAAAACCTAGTGTTAGGCCCTCTGAGGAATCCATATTGGTAGCGATTGCACGCCCCCATCTCGGAGCTTCTGAATATTCATGTGGGAAGCAGAAGGGCCGTTATCAAAGAAGGGAGAAACGACAATTCATAAATATTAATAAAGGCAGGTCCACGTGCTCCAAGGAAAGCTATGAATGTTCACAAGAGGATGACGTTCAGGCCCTGGGCGCGCCCGTTGGGCGGGTGCCCGAGTGCGGGCGCGCCTCCGGGAGCCCGGGCACGAGCGCGGGGACCGGGCGCCGCCGGAGCAGCGGGGGAACGCTCGCTGGCTGGCTGGCTTACGGCTGCCGCTGCGCTGCGCCCGGCTACCGCTAGCCGGTGGATGGGGGTGTCCGGCTGAGCCCCGGGATCCGCGTCCCTCCGCCAGGACCCACACAGGTGAGCTCTCAGGGTTAGGGAGTGGGGGACAATGACCTTAGTCTGCACTAGACCCAGTACTAGGGGCGCGCGCGCGCGCGGGTGGTGGTGGTGGTGGTGGTGGTCGAATTCGAGTGATGAAGGAGGCCAGAGGACTCCAGATTCTCCCATAAGATTCCTGATTCCTGGGGTAGGCGCGACTCTCATCCCCACTAGTCCTATCCACAGACTGAAAAAGAAGGGCTCGAGGGCTGTCGCCCTGGCTGTACCCAGTTTTGCGGGAGCTCAGCACCAGGGCTCCGGAATGAGATGCTGGGTACTGTTAGCATCATCTCAGGGCAGTGTGTATGTGTGTGTGTGTGTTGCTGAGTACTGGTAGCATCATCTCAGAGCTCTGTGTGTGTGTGTGTGTGTGTGTGTGTGTGTGTGTGTGTGTGTGTGTGTGTGTGTGTGTGATGTGCACCACACTGCTGGGAAACCCTGCCTGATCGTGCTGGAGCAATGTGGAACCCATATATCATTCCAGGACCGTTATCTGGCCCGGTTATCTTAGGCGTCTCAAAATCATCTTTGTCCCTAAGAACCTGACCCTGCATCTGCTTGTGCCCCTCCGCGGGGTGTGGAGCCTTCCCCAGACGGTGCATTCTCGCAGTGTCAGAACCTCTGGCTGCAGTCCTGGGGGAGCGATTGTTTTACTACACAGAGCAGGTCGGAGAAAGGACGAGCATGGCAGAGAGGAGTGGGGTGTGCAGAGGCGGCTGCCGTCCTCGGGGCCCAGAGCTCTGCAGACTGGGGGCTCAGCTTAAGGGGTGTTACACAATCCGCTCTTCTGCCCTCTTGCCTTTCCCTTCGCATCTTGTCTCCTGGCACGACCCACCATTCCAGGCTTCCAGGTCTTATTTGGCAAAGGGGCAGTGGAGTATGTGCAGGGGCTGCGTGGGATGAGCTGGGCTTCTTCGGAGTGCCAGCCATTGTGCTGCCTGGAAGAGCCTTTCTTTACTCTGACAGAAGAGGGAGAGGAGGTCTGAAATGGAGGTGAATGGAGCAGAAGAGAAGGGGGGAGGGTACAGAGTCCAGTGAAGGGGTTGCTGAGGCGTGTGCAAATGAGTATTTATTCGTTCTGGCAAAATGGACAGCTAACGCCAGCCAGGTTTTGCAGAAGAGCAGAGTCTGGAAGGAGAGAAGCGAGGACATTTTAAGGATCTATACTGGGAGAGGAGAGGAGAGGAAGCATAGGGTCAACTATAGAGCAAGAGATGGAAAGAACAGGGAGATGGAGAGGGCATGTGTGGAGGCGCAGAGAGGCCCAGGAGGGGAGGCACGGTGAAATCTCGCTCCATCCACCATTCACTCAGCTCGGGGAAGCAGGGACTGGTGATTTGTACTGCAGACCCAAGCTGCAGCTTCTGTACCGCTAGGCTGCAGGGAGAGGCTTGTGCGCTCCCTACCCAGTGTCCGTTGAGCTCTCTCTGTGTGTGCATTTCTCTTCCAAATTACATCATGTATTTGGAGACAGAATAAGTGGAACAGATTGTATGAAATGCTTAAACTATAGTCCTGTACTTCGTTCTATAATGAAAAGGAAAAGACGACTTTCTCGTGATTCCCTCTTGCCATTTTTTGCATATCTGTTTATTTTGGAAGCACAAGGAAGATGGCTATTATGTGTATTAACATTAACTTTCTGTGTGTGTGGGAGAGGTGAAAACAGAGCGCCAGGTGTCACGCACGCTGAGCAAGTGCTCTGCAGCTGGGTTGCTCCTCTAGCCTTGACACTAGCTTTGAAGGGAGGAGGACTGGGAGAGAAGCTGAGGCTGAGGACCCAGCACCCTTGCCGGGATGGAAGCATGGAGGGTTACTTCCGACATTTCGGTTGGGAAATAAAGGCAGCTTACCTAGAGGAGTACAAAAGAAAATGAATTAAAGAAGGAAGGCAGGGGGGCCCTAATAAAAGGGATGTGCCAACACTCCAAGCCAGTGAACCCCTTCTCAAGGCTTGACTCTCATTTCCTCTACCACAGCCTGAGATACAAATGTCCAGGTTGCGTCCTGTATTGATACAGATTCCTGATTGTGCTCTCAGATTTAGCATCATCTGTCTGATCGTTTACATTGTACTTCGTGGCTCCTGGGCAGCGACTTGATGAAAGCCAATCAGGATATATTGTGGATTGTTTCAACTAGGCTTGTCTCTGGACTTGAAACCTTGATATTCATGTCTTCTTTTATAATATTTTATTATACGCTGTGTATATGTGTTGTGTGTGAGTGTAGACATGAATGTACCACAGCACCGTTCGGAGGCCAAAGGTCAACTTTCCTTAGCTCCCCTGTGGCATCCAGGGATCAAACTTAGGTCCCCAGGTTTGCAGAGCGGGCACTTTTAACCCACAGAGCCATCTAGAGAGCCTGCTTCTTTTATAATTTTGTAGATGAATCTCTTTTCTCTAAGATTTGTCTGAGTCAAATATAGACACCCCCTTTTTAGATTTATTTTGATTATTTTTAATTATGTGTATGTGCCTATGTGTATGTGCATATGAGTGCAGGTACTTTTAAAAGCAAGAGGCACTGGATCCCCCCGGGGTTGGGGTTAGAAGAATTGTGAGTCACCCTACATGGGTGTTGGGAATTGAAGTTAGTATGTGCTCTTAACCACTGAGCCCTCTCTCCAACTCCTAAGCACACCTAAGATCTGTATGATCTTCCAACATTCAAAGCTTAGTATGTTCAGGTGCTTGCTTGCTTGAAGCAGGCTTTCTTGTAGCCTAAGCTATCGAGGAACTTGCTCTGTAACCAAGGAGGGCCATCGATTCCTAATGCTGCACCATTAGGGATATCTTCATATGCTGGTCATTGTTGCCGTTCAGAGGCAGGACTATTGGTTGCTTCCCTGCCTCAGCACTTTGTATAGCACCTTTCAGTACTGTGAAAGCTAGCCTTCAGAGAGGAGGCTTTCGGGTCAGATCCAGCTCATAAACCCAAAGTTGTTGAAGTACACACTGTCTTCAGCATAGGGACTTACCTTCAATCTCCGATGGGCCACCAAGGGCAACAGTGATAGCTTATGTTGTTTGGAAATCTACTGGACTCTTTTCACCAACAACTCAAAAGGGAATTTCATATGCCTGGTACTGAGGCTTTTTTGTTAAATAGTCTGAGGCTTTTGGGAGGATCATTGTCAACTCAAGTAGCACAATTTTATTTAAACCATATATATATATATGCATACTCATACACTTATATGCATTATATTAATTTTATGTAAATAAAAAAATAGTGATTCCTTATGTTCTTTTCAAACATCCTTAGTGTTATTTGCCCTCTTCCTTTTCTCTTCTGGATTGAACGCTCTCCTCCACCCCCATTAGACCACCCCTTTCTTCCCATTGCCCCTTTGTATCACCTGTGTCCTGCTATTGCCCTAGAAAGCACTCCTTCCCCATGCCCCATAGGACATTCTTGCTTTCCTGATTTTTAATGGTTACTCCAAGCACTCCAAGTTATATACTCACGTCTGAAGACAGATTTTGACTTTTTAATACAGCATCTCACTAAGTTGCCAGGCTAGCATTGAACTTGTGTAGCCCAGGCAGCTCAGAACTTCCTTCCTTCCTTTTTTTTCTTTCTTTTTCTTTTCTTTTCTTCTCTTCTTCTTTTTTTTTTTTTTTTTTTTTTTGGTTTTTCGAGATAGGGTTTCTCTGTGTAATTTTGGTACCTGTCCTGGATCTCGCTCTGTAGACCAGGCTGTCCTCGAACTCACAGAGATCCACCTGCCTCTGCCTCCCGAGTGCTGGGATTAAAAGTATGTGCCACCATCACCCGGCGAACTTTCTTTTTTTTAAAGATGTGTGTGTGTATGCGTGTGCCATGAAACACCTTAGTGGTTTGGAGAAACTTATGAGGCTCTCCTCTAAATAATGTGTTTATATTTGGGCAGTGGTGGCTCATGCCTTTATAGGCAGGCGGATCTCTGTAAATTCCAGGACAGCCTGGTCTACAGAGCAAGTTCTAGGACAGCCAAGGCTACACAGGGAATCCCTGTCTCAAAAACAAACATACAAACAAAAACCAAAAATTGGCCAGGTGGTGGTGGTACACGCCTTTAATCCCAGCACTCGGGAGGCAGAGCCAGGCAGATCTCTGTAAGTTCGAGGCCAGCCTGGGCTACCAAGTGAGTTCCAGGAAAGGCACAAAGCTACACAGAGAAACCCTGTCTGGGGAAGAAAAAAAGAAACCCAAACAACAACAAAAAAGAAACAAAAATTATTTTTTACTGGACATTTGTTTGTTTGTCTATTTGAGACAGGGTCTCTCTATGTAGCTCTAGCTGCCCCAGAACTCACTGTGTCAACAAGGCTGGCCTAGAACTCAGGATGCATGTGCCAACATACCTGGCTTATTTCTTGTTTGTTCATTTATCTGAGACAGGGTCTTCAGTAGCCTAGGCTGTAGCAAGATTGGCCTTGAACTGATCCTCCTGCCCCTCCCTTCTGCTGCTAGTATTATAGTTATGCTTCACCATGTTCCAGCAAATGATGCTTTTAAGTCCACAGAACAAAATGCTGTGTCTTAAAGGGGAAACCAATTTTAATGAAATATAGGTATAGCCAAAAAGAACTTCTGATTGACAATTGGTTGAGCATTGCTTTAAGGTTGAGCATTGCTTTAAGGTTGTGTTGGGGTACTGTGGTGGCCGCTAGGCACATGTGGCTGTTGAGTGCCTGTAAGGAGGCTAGTCCAAAGACAGACTGCAACTATAAAATGCACATTGCATTTCAAATACCTTAGTATAAAACACAATCTCCATATTTTTAATATGAATTATATATTAGTATGGTCATACTTTGGATATATTGGATTGAGCAAATATGCTTCTAAAATAAAATATAAAGCTATTAAAATGAGCTTCTAAAGGTGTCAGCTCAGTGCCAGGGTTTTTATAGTAATTCATGAGGAAATCAGATCCCGGGATACGTGCCACTCAATGAGGCACTGAATCTTGGCAGCATCTCATTTGTCTGTGTTGAGAATGGTCTTAGGGTTCCTATTGCTGGGATGAAACACAATAGCCAAAAACAGCTTAGGGAGGAAAGGGTTTATTTTGCTGATGCTTCCACATCACAGTCCATCATCAAGGAAGTTAGGAGAGGAATTCAAGGCAGAAACCTGGAGGCAGGAACTGGAGCCGAGGCCGCGTAGGAACATTGCTTACTGGCTTGCTATCCATGGTTGCTCAGCCTGCTTGTTTATGTGACCTCCACATGCCCAAGGGGGCATGTGGCACTGCCCACGATGGGCAGGGCCCTCTCACATCAATCACTAATTAAGAAAATACACTGTAGATTTGCCTACAAGCAAATCTTATGGAAGTATTTTCTCAATTGAGAGTTCCCTTTCCCAAATAACTTTAATATGTGTGCTCTAAAGGCCAAATCCACATCCATCTTGGGTATTGATGGATCAAGTTGGCAACAAACTAGTCAGGACAGGATGGAAACCAGGGCCTCTACCACTGAATTACACTCCAGCCTCGCTCTATCTGGTTTTCAGTGTATTTTCCCCCCAGCATTTCCTTTGCTTCTTTCTTTTATCCTTTTCTTCCTATTTTTTTTTTTTTTGTTTTTGTTTTTGAGATGCAGTCTTACTATGTAGTCCTGGCTGGCCTGGAATGCATTACATAGACCAAGATAGCATTGAGGTCAGGGGCAATCTACTTGCTTATGCCCCCAGAGTTTTGGGGATACAGACAGGCTCCACCATTTTTGGCTGGTAGGCCTTTCATATAATTATCCTACCATGTTGCCTTTGCAAACTAGAAATGCTCAGAATGTATTTTGATGCCA